ATCAATAATGGCAAAGGAGAACACCTGCATTTAGGTTTCTATGCACCAGAACTGGGTCCGAGCAAAAACAGTTTTCGTTCTTTTTTTTCGCACATCTTCTTTCACGACCACTAAACGGAAAAAAAATGCCAAAGTGTCTTTTGTGGATATGCATGTTTTTCCTGTTTTTTTTTTTTTCTATGTTCTATGGAGAGCAAAACCAAATCTGCTTCGATTTTTTCGATGTTTTTGTGTGTAGATCGCAGTGAAAATAAGTGTTGACTGTTATTTGCGACGTCTGATTTATAGTGACTGTGCTACAACAAATAAATACGAGCGGATAGGGAGGCATGCTGTTTGTACATTTCAAGATTCATTGCACTAAAATTGCTGGATAAGGGCTGCAGAGAAGAGCAAAATGGTTGCCGATGAACAGAAACTTAAATGTTGGATTAATAGTGTCAATAAAGGATGAATTATTTCCTTCACAGCACTCATGCTGGCGCAGTTGTATTAGTTAGAGCTTCGACTCTAAAAACAAGCAGTGGTGTTATCAAACGGCCCGTAACAAAGCTCTGAATATTACCCATACAAGATAATTGGCTTGATAATGGCACCTTACCTTTACGTAACTGTTATATTGCACTCTTTTCTCTTTTAGTCAAGGTTAAGGTACCCTGCCCGAGACTTTAAAAGCTAGTGGACGTCAAATTGACAACGGATACTGCAATCAACAAAGGGGGGAGAATGTTTGATCAACAGCCAGCCCGCAAGAGCAATCGGGCCGACCTAACAGCGTATATTATAAGAGAACGCATGAAAGAGAGAATCACCTTCAAGCGCTCAAGATTTAAATTCTGTTACATTAAGTTATCTTTCTTTCTTATACTTTGTTATTCTATTGAGCTTTGAATTTGCTAACTTAGTAACAGCAGAATTTGCGACACATGTTGTAGGCTCTGAGCGTCAGTCAGAATCAACAGACGTATGCTCTGTGTAGGTCAGATTAATATTTATAATATTAAGGTGAAGCTCAAAAAAAGTTCAAGTCATTTTAAAATGAACAACACCTCTTGTGCACATATGTGAGCAACCATCTTGGACGTTCTCTAATTTCAACCTTCCCAGCAAGCATGCAAAACTCTTAAAGCCGCCTCAGCTGGTAACCACACCGCAGGCCGCATCATATCTACGGGCAGTTTGGGGCGCCGCTCACGGCGCAGCCGATATCCAGCTTGTAGAGATAAGCGGTTCCCAAAATTGCATCTCGGGGCAGCTATCGTACACTAGGCATTCTGAATTAAATGCTGACCTTCTGCCGTGTCCACTAATTGAAAGGCGACCTGTTCCCCTAAAACAGCAGCGCGCCTGTAACATCACCGACGAGATAGAGCCGGAAAGCTAACCCGTGCTCCGAAAGATGTCTATACTGTTATCATCTCAACTCTCCCAATATTTTACGATGTATGCCACTTAACTCAAGGCAGTGTCTTTCTATTGCGAATGCAACTTCGACCTTCGTAGATTATGATGTTTCCTTTATAACTGGGTGATGCGCTAGTCAACTATGCTGAAATTCTCCATGCGTTGACTGTATGATGTTTGTTGCGGGACGAATTAAGTTATCGATTGTTTAGTTTTTTCTGATATTATATTCTATATATTCTGAAAGTACTTATGCATTTTTATACTTTGAATGTACGGCCACATTGTATGGTTTGTTGCCGCCATTACTTAATTGTTAAGCTCATTATTGTCGTTAGTTCGAAGGCCGTAGAAGGAAAGGCTACGGTAAGACTTTGAGGGAATATATTTATAAGTTCCGTTCAGAATAAAACACTTGAACATGTACTTTCAATAGCACGTTTTGCATTAAGCTGCCTCTATTAACATCGGAGCAACATGGCCAGGGGCTACACTTGAAACTGCAAAAGACTTGCGCTGGAGACAATAAATGAATTTACAACAACACCCTTGTTATGGAGTAACCATTGGTACGCAGCCAGCGTTAAATACAGTAGGCTTCATTTTCGAGCTGAATATGATGACACAACGAACCCCAGGAAAAGCCAAAGCCTGAGCCAGCATCTTGACAAGAGGGCCAAGCCCAAGCACGCAACTCTCAAGTATGCATGTTATGGATTTAATAACTCAGTTGAGTCGCGCCGCTAGAGCACGAGTTGCAGAGGACAAAAACTAGTGAAACTCATGTGAGTACTGATCCCTTTAAGTTGATTATTGCTGGCGTGGGTGATACAGCTAACCAGCCGCCATTTTTGATCGCAGCTTTTAGTGGAAGCCATCGTCGAGTGGAAGTTTGAAATGGCAATTATTAGTGAAGTCCCAATTTAAGGTGTAAGTCTGAGTGAAACTGAAATTTGAGTGGAACTGCCATTTTGAGCAGATCGCCATCTTTGAGTGAGCCATTACCTGTGTAAAATTGAGAACACAGTTGCAAACGGTATAACATGCTACAGTTATGGATAACTGTTCTACATCAACAAGTCGCTCGACTCCACATTGTTCTGCGCTGCCACAGGTATTGCGCAGCCAGCGGTCAGCTGCACGCCGGCACAAGAAAACCAACAAGCGATCATTTTGGAGCCAACGCAAGCAACTGGGAACTTCCCATGGGCGACTCCCAGGAACGATGTATGCCTGCTACGCAAATTACCAGATCTACCCGAGCTTAGAAGCTAAATTGAGGATTGGCCAATATTCTTCAGCGCGTTTACGGAAAATGTTCAACGAATTTGGAGAATTACCAGCGATAGTTGAAGGCACTTAAAGGCGAAGCACCTGATACTGTGAAGTCGTTCCTCATACATCCCAGGAATGTGAACAACGTGATGGAACAATTACGTTTCAGATATGGCCGCCCAGAACAACTAACGCAGCAAGCTAATTATTATTCGAGAGGTGCAGGCAATTCAAGAGCACATCATAGCTAAAATCGTGTCACTTGCTTCACGAGTGAGTAACCTTAGCGCCATTCTACAAACGGCTAACAGCGAATGGTATTTAGCGAATAGGATTTAGCGCATCCTACACTGATGGAGGATTTGTCGCTAAGCTACGACTAAGCAAGAGGATGGAATGGGCTAGACATACAGCTACAATAAGGCCCTTCACTATGTCGTATTTTAGCGCGGGGTCAACGGACTACGCCAATGAGGTATCTACGATTGTTGATGTCGATAGTAAGTTGAATGCTGCATGCCAGCAATGACCAGAATAATGAAGGGCGACACCGAGATCTCACCAAACAGTACCGAATCGGTAATGGACAACACGCAGTCAGGCAATGCAACGAGTTTAACTTAGCCTCTCCGCTAAAAATGTGGACGTTTGTAAAAAGGCACCGGCTATGTTTCTCGTGTCCACTAGATGGCCACATGGCAAGAGTCTGCAAAAGGGCCAACGAATGACAAGTCAATGGCTTCCGGAAGAGACATTATCGTCTTTTACATGATCATGATGCTATGTGTCACAATGTACCGCAGGTTATAGAGTGATGAATACTGGATAGATGCCGCAGCCAGCGGATACGCACACAAGGGCACCGCAGCCAGTGGGTGCTCAATCTACGCAACAAAGGAACTAAAGTTGTGTCCATTCGAATGGAGAACGCCTACTATTCCGCAAATTGCCAGTAACATTGCACGGGGGCAATAAGCGGATCGACACGTATGCAATACGTCGAGGAGACGAGGGCTCGTCTGTAACGATCATCGTCATCGAGTCGGGAACTCGCGACTAGGGAATACTCTGAACCCTCTTATTCCTACACCAACTAAATTAAAAAAAAAGTTCCCTTGGCAGGGCTTGAACTCGCAAATGACCGCATTACTTGCTGTCGACTCTGCTTAACAGCCACAAAAGCAAAAGCAAGAAAAAATATCTTCCCCGTTAGGGCTCGAACTCGCGACAGACCGCACCACTTGTTATGCCTCTACTCAGCAGCCACACAAATATTTAAGGACTTATGATAAAAAAAGGAACTTAAATAGCATTACAGAAAAAAGTCGCAATAACCATTCTGTCAAAATGCGAAGCAGACGAGCATGAATGTGTGTGTATTTACATGTATACAGAAACTCTTAAAGCTGCTGCCCCATTCAATTGCGCAGTTGCATATAACTTTGGTTTTTTCTTAACCGATCTTTATGAAATTTTCTACAGTATATCTTATTGTACCATAGAATATTTGAGTATACTGAAAAAGTCAATAGCAGTTAAATTGTGGATTTAATTGATTGGCAATAAAAGTTGGGTTATTAATTTAATTAATAGCAGTAGCGAGGAGGTGGCGATAGGTATAAAATGAAAGATACTTGATATATATTTAATATTCTAGAAGCAGCATATCATGTTTGGTGGCTCTAACTCTTATTATTTACCAAAATTGCCCAAAAACAGGAACGATATCGATTTTTATCGATTGCTTGGATACGGACTAAGTTATCGATTATCGGAAACAAACTCGATCTGCGCAGGCACTTGGAGCATCTACATCTAATTTCAAGTTTCTAGCTCTTATAGGTTCTGAGATCCTTGCGTTCTTACATACGGACGGACATACATACGGACATACGGACAGACAGACGGAGATGGCTAGATCGACTCGGCTATTGATGCTGATCAAGAATATACATACTTTATGAGGTCGGAGGTGCTTCCTTCTGCTTGTTACATACATTTGGATTTTGCACAAATACAATATACCCTTATAAGTACCCATTTTTAATGGGTTCAGGGTATAATTAATCAATCGGCCTTACTAAGAATATGAGGTTGATGATGCTTTTTTATGCCTGTTACATGCTTTTGCATAAAACCATTATACACTATTGAACGTATACCATTAGATTTAGGACATAACAATCGTTTAAAGTTTTAATTAGGTAAAATATAATATTCAACCATCTTTAGATATAATCATAATCTTCGACCGTAAAATAGGATTTACAACGCTATACATCGATATCCATTGATACTGCTTTATTTTTATATAATTTCAGAATGCGACTCCACATGTTTATTCGAATGTTATTGCTCAATGCACGCTTCCCCGACATTCGTATCGAAATAATTGGCCTGGATATAAAAGCAACTATGCAGTGCATTCAAAATTTTATCAAATTTCGACTTCATCAGAAAATTCCGATATGCATCTGACTCGAGAATCGACGGAGGAATATGCAGGCTCATCGTCATCAGTATCCAACAGTTCTATAATTTCAACGTCCAAAGCTTTTGCTCAACCTCATAATCGAACCATAGCGTTACACCACATAACGCAGGCCCAGCCCAGCAGTGTTAGTGTTGACACATCAAGCAATGTTTTTAACTCTATTGAACAGATCCAATCCGAAGATGAAGTTACCGTCCAAACTCCATTAATGATAAAACGAGATAGCTCTGTATGACTATAGAATTTCCACGGAGCTTATGAACAGGCTCTGTGATTATAAATAATAATTCATTTTAATAAAAATACTACATTCATAGAGTAGATATGTTGTATCGCGAAATTTTACAATACATTTTCAAAAATATTGCAACAACTAAAATATCCCCAAAAGAGTTTTGCAAATTTCCTATTAATATTTTTTAAGTAATGATTTAATCATAATACATATGTAGAAAATTTATATTTAAACAATTGTAACAATTATTTATGTTTATATTATTTAAAAATCCGTAAATAAAAATAGATTTTTCATTTATTAATATCTGTCAATATTAAAAATGTATGTGTTCACGACTTCATGTATAAGCAATCAAGTAACTTGCTCCATTTTCAAGCAATCGATAGAGGAATCGTTATTTCAGCATATCTTAGAACTAATAAAAGCCAGCAAATTTGATAAAACAAGCCAAATGTTTTTTGAATATTTTTTACAAGAAATTAGTTGGAAGCAGGCATCTCCGAACCAATAATGTATATATATACTAAAACAGCATCAACAGCCGAGTTGTTATATTCATATGAGAGCTATAGGAAAGATCGGTCGAATAGTTCTATCTTATATGCTTAATACTCTATTCTCAAAGATATTTTCATCCATCTCCGTATTTTGGTGCCCAGCTATTCTCTCACATCTGCAAAGCGGAAATGTCTACTAATCGATTTCCGATATCATGCTCAAAGCCGGCCAATTATTAAAACTCTGGCTAATATCAACACTAGTTTTTATAACCACTGCCGGCAAAGCTTACTTCTCCCAATGATTTAAGCCGAACAGTCTGACGTAATATATACTAAAGACCTTTATCTCTGTTGCTCCCTACACATATTCGAAAGCAATAGTTCTAAAATAAGAAATGTCTGGGAATATTGTTAATTTGCCAAATACTTATAGCGACCGAAAGATTCTCTATATATTATAAATGCTCAAAATAAAATTTACTTATTTATTTTTTCATGAATGGTCGAAAAAACGAGGGTCTCCAATTATTAAATATTTTAGAACAGCAAAATTAAGAAATAAAAGCCTTATCAAATCAAAAATATTATTAAAATCATTTCCGGCACGATGGAGGTATTTTTTCGCCCATACGGCCAGCTTATTTTTTTATTGACCTTATTAAAGTTTACAGCTACTGAAGTTGGTTGTCCGTCTGGAGAACAACTTTAATTTTCGTGTTTTTGGGCCACTTCATGCTAAGATAGGCGGTACAAGCCCCTTCGGCACCAATACTAGTAATGGAAAGCCCGAGAGCTGTTGCCAAGGATGCATTAATGCAATTCGTTGGACTTTACGGATTGAGTACCGTTCGAGTCTCGAAAAACTACTGATTCTGCGTTGGAGGAGCAACCAAAGCGATAAAGCTGGTGCCGTCAAGTCGGAGCGCGGCGCCCGTTATGTGGGTGGGTGCGGCGGATCTGGCGTGCCGAGAGGGCCGAGCTCCGGTCTTCGCCTTCTGTGCCTTGACATGCAAGTTCTAAAATGAGAAATGTCTGGGAATATTGTTAATTTGACAAATACTTATAGCGAGCGAAAGATTCTCTATGGGTTTATATACCATTTTAATAATACCCAAAGAATGACAGAACTTTGTATATCATAGACCTGAACCTCTACATTGCTCTAGCACTGCTTAATATCGGAATCTGTCAGTGCAGCGCCTTCAACCTTACCATGGCTTACTACTTCGGACTAGGATAGGCAACGCCCAAAATATCTTGTGTGGCTTTTAGCCCTTCACGCCACGCCAGCTTAGTAGCATTTTGTTCGCCAAAATTCTCACATATAATAAAATTATGGTATATAATATAGCCGTATTGTTCAATTGCTATATTAATACAATATTCCACGCAAATAGGATTATCTTTTATAAGTATTAGCCAAAAGAGTCTAAACACCTATGTTTGTATGTATGAATTAGGTATGGATAATTAAATTAAAATATGTATGCATTTCTTGCTATTTTCTGCAGTGATTGGCTTCTCGCGCCGACTAAGGCAATTTTTTTATACCCTGAACCCATTAAGAATGGGTATGAGGGTATATTGTATTTGTGCAAAATCCAAATGTATGTAACAGGTAGAAGGAAGCATCTCCGACCCCATAAAGCATATATATTGTCGATCAGCATCAATAGCCGAGCCGATCTAGCCATCTCCGTCTGTCTGTCCGTCCGTCCGTCCGTATGCATGAACGCAAGGATCTCAGAACCTATAAGAGCTAGAGACAATTAAATTGAAATTTTAGATGTAGATGCTCCTAATGCCTGCGCAGATCGAGTTTGTTTCCGATAATCGATAACTTACTCCGTTTCCAAGCAATCGATAAAAATCGATATCGTCTTCCTGTTTTTTGGGCAATTTTGGTAAATAATAAGAGTTAGAGCCACCAAACATAATATGCTGCTTCTAGAATATTAAATATATATCAAGTATCTTTCATTTTATACCTAACGCCACCTCCTCGCTACCGCGCAACAGCTATAAATCACATTAATAACCCAACTTTTATTGCCAACCAATTTAAGCCACAATTTAAATGCAATTGACTTTTTCAGTATACTCAAATATTCTATGGTACAATAAGATATACTGTAGAAAATTTCATAAAGATCGGTTAAAAAAAACCAAAGTTATATGCAACTGCGCAATTGAATGGGGCAGCAGCTTTATGAATTACTGTATGCATGTTGTGATGGGGTGATAAGTTTTATTTCTGGAAACGTAAACATACGTTACCATTGGCATGATCAGCTGATCACAATCAACTTCAATGGGCAGTACTGCACTATAACATTTATGCAAGTACATATGATCAGCGGAGGTTATTAACATAACCAGAGTGACCATGACCTATGTTAATGACGCCGTTGCGAATGAAAATCTCGTGTCTTGGGTGAATGCTTAATTGCGTCTTTTAGTTTTGGCATGGCGTCATTCTTTTCCATTTTAATCGCCGAGTACAGTTGGTTAAGATTGCTTTAAAAATTATAAAATTCAATTTTTCACGTGGGCGGCATACTGGCCGTAGGTATAAGCGAAGGGCGAAGTACACATGAAGTTTAAATTGCAATTCTTTCCGTTTTATATCGCTGACATTGTCTTTCGATCTTGATTTAGCATGTATATGTCGCTGACTACTATATTTCTACGTTACACCGTTCAATTAAGAGTCCACAGCACATCATCGTCGTCAACAGGCCTGCTGACATCGTTGGATCATACTAAAGTAGTGAGTACTATGTGAAAGAACAAAAGGTAATAAGCCAACTTATCGAATTGTACGTATTGCTTGAATCGCGTTTATAGTCAGCGGGTGTACTCCTAATCAGCCTTCATAATTACAGATAACTTTTGTGGATCATTCAGATCAGCAGTGATTTAACTTCATATTAGTTTCGAAGGGTAATCTCATTCATGTGTGTTTTTGCTCAGATTGAGTTTAGGTTTATAAAAAAAGGAAAACGTTGTTCTTCTCACGTAATGTATAATGAAGTACGAACATGTATTTAAATCTTTTTTGAATACAATTATATGATAAAATGAAATCTTAATTCCTTTTTGGGCACCTTGGGTAAATAATATCGCATACAAAAGGGTAGTTGCAATAACAATCGCAGATTGTACCGTTCGAGTCTCGAAAAACTACTGCTTCTGCGTTGGAGCAGCAACCAAAGCGATAAAGCTGGTGCCGTGAAGTCGGAGCGCGGCGCCAGTTATGTGGTGGGTGCGGCGGATCTGGCGTGCCGAGAGGGCCGAGCTTCGGACTTCGCCTTCTGCGCCTTGACATGCAAGACGCGGCCTTGGGTGTGCTCCTCGCTTTTTTTTAAAAATATTGATTTGAAGTCCCAAAGTTTGACACATGTGTAAGTTGGAAGGTCTGTTTATGAAATGGTGATATCGGACTTAATCGAAAGGAAGCTCAGTCAAGGGCCTTGCCTGTTTTACTGTTTTATATAATTAACAACTAACTTTGTGGTGGCCTTAAAAGGCATATTATGCGTTTCGTGTTTATCGCTTAATTCGACAACTGAAATTATTACACCTAAATTAAGCTAAGGCGCCGAGCCAGAGCGAGAGATACAACTTTATTGCGCTCTCGCTCCGCGCCAAACATAACTTACACTACACTTTATTCATTCATTTTCATTCATTCATTTCAAGCAATGTGCTGATCTGCGCCTACAGATGTCATCCTTGTCAGGATGCTTATCTTGGACTCGGCCGAGCCGTGTTCTTTATTTTTTTACAATGATCACGTCTTCGTTTTGCAGGTTTCTTGTCGAATTTTGATTATCAGGATGAACGCTCTATAAATGGACCGCCTCGAGCTGAGTTAAGCTGCCATTTTGGATAAGAGTGTATATAGCTCCTCAAACGTGTACTTGAAAGAAGAAGTGGTCTTGTAAAATAGCATTTTTAAGGTTTTTACTCCCGCTTTCCAATGGGCCTATTTTAGGGGTGCTAGGAAAATAAAAGTCCCTTTCGCGGCTTCTAAGAAAACACGCGTTGCTAGAGTTCATTAATTAAGGGCATCCCCGTAGAAAAACAAGTCGAACGAAATCGAACACGGAAATTTTCGATCGTCAATTCGGAAGTGGTTTTTAAATGTATGGCAAAATCGACGCCTGTATTCTAGAACGGGCATACGAACGTGGTTCGTTCGTCGGGTAAATGAGTTGGATTTGCAACTGGTTGCGATTAACTACACATACTTGACAGAAACATATCGTTGCCTTGGAATCCAGAACTTGCACCGGAGAATGGAGATGCGATGAATGAAGATGCGATGCCTTTCGTCATTGCGCAGGGACTCTAAAGCGCTCACATACTGAATGCTCTTATGACTCATTTTCATTTCATTTCAACGAACGGTTAGAGATTAATAATGACACTTGAGCTTAGTATAAGTTGCTTGTCGAGCAAACAGTGATTCTCCTGAGAATACTCAATAATTTATATATGTACAATAAGCCGCTTTTGAGCTTCGGGTAGCTCAGTGCTGCTGATTTTTATCAGGTTTCTTATAGCGATTAATGAAAAGGTCCATATTGGCTTTGATTCTAAGTGCTTTACTGAATTCGGAGCAAACGGTCAACAATATTGGATTTTGGAGGCAACTTTGCTAAGTTGTATTTCACGGGGATCATCCTCAGTTTAATGGGCTGAT